TATGTATGTATATGTGTTATATGTACATATTTTTATATGTCGATGTCGTATGTATGTATATGTGTTATATGTACATATTTTTATATGTCGATGTCGTATGTATGTATGTATATGTGTTGTTTGTATATATGTATATATATATATATATATACACATATGTTGTGGTTGCTAACCGCGATTTGTATTATATGCACATATATGCATGTGTTATAAATATATATACCCGTCGTCCCGTGTTATATATATATATATATATTTACACAATGTTGTAATTGTTATAATGTATATATACACATGTATGCACGATATATATAGATGTGTAGTGGTTGTAACCACGATTGGATTGATGTTTATATATATACTCGTCGAGTTGGTTTTATTAGGCTTTATTGGGCCTAAATGAGATTTATTCGGTTTTATTGGGCCTTAATGAACTTTATTCGGTTTTATTGGGTCTTAATGGGCTTTATTCGGTTCCATTTGAGCCTTAATGGGTTTTATTCGGTTTGGTTGGGCCTTAATGGGTTTATATTTGGGCCAAATAAAATCGAATAAAGCCCATAAAACCGAACAAAACTCAGTTAAATGGGTTAAGCCCTGATAAAAAAAATAAAAATAAAAAAATAAGACAATTTCCTCGTTGATCCCTCGCTGATCTGCGAGGGATCAGCGAGGGAATTTGCAAAAATCATATTCTCTCGCTGATCCCTCGCTGATCGCTTAGGGGTGAGTCACAATCTAGTACCGACAGCCCTCCCCCTGATGAGGCATCTCTTTGGGAGCAAAGTGTCGGAGGATGGAGGAAAGGCCGAATATTTGGTTTCGGGACCACCCAGGACCCCTCTTTTGCTATGACGGGTAGATGTAGCACTAGCGGGTCATCATACGAGTCAAGAGCGGATGTACGTTGGTTATATTGTTATAAACTTTCTCTTTACTAAAATTGCGAAGAAATTACTGATTTTGTCGAATATTTAATATTTACAAGTAGCGGAGTTGAGAGAGAAGTTGGCAAKGGTAGAGGAACGTCATCTGGCCGAAATGGAGGAAGAACGGAAGAAGAGGGCAGATTTGGAGGCCGAACAGGCCAGACAAGCTGCTGCATTAGCCCAACAGGCCGCATTATCGGAGCATTTTGTTGCGTTTATGCGGCAGTCAGGATACGTTTTCCCACCTCCCCCACCTCCCGATAGTTAGATTTTATGTATTCGAAGATTAAATTGTATGAATTGAATATTTTAAATTGTATGAATCCATATTTTAAATCGTATGAATTAGTTACTTTGTTCACAWATTTGGTTTGTTATATATTATTATTATTTCCAGGTTTTTATAAATAAATACAGGATTTATGCATTTTTAAAAAATATATTTCCTATTTTTTTGCAAATTAGCGACGGATTAGCGAGGGAAAATCCGTCGCTGAAAGTGGTTGAAATTCCCTCGCAGATCCGTCGCTGAAAGTTCCCTCGCARATCCGTCGCTGAAAGTTCCCTCGCAGATCCGTCGCTGAAAGTTCCCTCGCAGATCCGTCGCTAAAAGTTCTCTCGCAAATCCCTCGCTGATCCGTCGCTAAATACTTCCCTCATTGATCCGTCGCTGAAAGTGTTCGTCGCAAATCCGTCACTGATATCCGTCGCTGATAGCATTACCTACGACTGTTTGAGCGACGGAGTATCAGCGACGGATTGCCCTTTCAGCGACGAATCAGCGAGGGAAAATTACTCTGCATTTTTGTAGTGAGCTATATAACAAAACGTAATCTACTTAAATTAATGATAAGTTAACTGAAGACAATAAATATAATCTTGTAGGTTATTAAAATAAATTAATGATAAAATATAATAATTATAAAATAATTTATGGATCAAGC